TTCGCAAATAGTTAAGGATGTGGGCTGTTCTAGTTTTAGGGAAATGCGAAGTTTAGCTCAGGATAGGAAAGAGTGGAGGTACGTGTCCAACCAGTCTTAGGACTGATGACCTTATGATGATGATGATGATGATGAAATAAAATTACCGGTGCCGCTCATGAGTCCGTCCCTGAAGAGCAGATATTCCATAGCAGTGGCCCAATTCAAGGGGGTCGTATTGGTGTCGTTTATGTTGAACGTCAGGAAGTGGGCGACGTGATTTTGCAAGTTCCTACCAACGCCAGGCAAATGGTGAACCAGTGGGACTCCAACTTGTTCCAAATCTTCTCGCGGTCCAATGCCAGAAAGGAGTAAGAGTTGTGGAGAATTCACTGCTCCTATAAAGCAAATTTCGGTGTCAAACTTTGAAGTTGTACGAATGGGGGAATATTCCCTACCTCCAGATAGAATGACCTCTTTTGTGGCAAATATCGATTGTTTTTTTCCTTCGCTGACCACTTCGACGCCGTACGCCGACTTACTGCGTTTATTAATGAGAATCCTGGTGACGGTAGAGTTCAGCAAAATATGGAGATTGTTCCTGCTTTTGTATGGTCGAATGAAAGCTTTAGCGGTACTTTGTCTGGTGCCGTTTATATTGGTCGATTGGGTGATTGCAAAGCCCGTGTGGTACTGTCCATTTAGGTCTCTGTTTGGATAGCCTGAAACATCTCCTAACGTTAAGAAAACAAAAAATTGAACGATTTGGGAAGCGGTAGGCACCTAGTTCACCACCGGCTTCTACGAGGGCTCGTGACAGGGGCGGATGATACGGGAACTGGGAGATAACAACTGGACCTCCTTCCGCATGGTATCCTCGATCCACCAGGTCAAGTTGTTTGTTGTCCTCGCTTTTCAGGAAGAACGGCAGCACATCGTTGTAACTCCAACCGTCACATCCCAGGGACGCCCAGTTGTCGTAGTCGTGTCTAGAACCCCTTATGTACATCATACCGTTTATGACCGAAGTACCACCAAGAACCTAAGGATCCAAAGGTCATTACAAGATCGTTAATTTTAAATTATATGGTTTTTCGAGGATGGCGGCCAAATAATTATACAACTTTATGTTTTTTGTTACGTTTCGGTTTATTCAACCATCTTCAGATTGAAAAAATTTTGTTTTTTTTTTAACTTATTGTTTTACTAGATTACGTACTATACATTTGTTAGTAAAATGTAATTGATAGTCAAAGAACATTTAAAGTGTTAACACTTTAACACAACAAATTTTTTTCAGTCTGAAGATGGTTGAATAAACCGAAACGTAACAAAAACATAAAATTGTTTAATTATTTATTTGACCGCCACCCTGGAGAAAACTATACAACTTAATCGACCCAAAAACGTCACCTTGCCCCTGGGCCAATAACACCTTTGTTCGTTTTCGTTCAAACAAGCTTCCTTTTCCGGTTCTGTAAAGTACATCCAGTCCAATTCTGTTCCCAAATAGTTCAAGAACATGGACGGCACCTGCGCTCCTGTGGGTTCGTCCTGGCCTGGAACATAAACGATAACAGTTGACAGAAATGGTGTTGAGAGATTTCGTTTGGATTTACCAGCTTCTATTAGTAGAACGTTCCACTCGGGTATTTCGGACAATCGTCCTGCAACCACGGATCCTGCCGAGCCGCTGCCTATGACGATAAAATCGTACTCTGGATACGGACTGGCCGACTTGGGTCTACCGCAGGGGTCTTCTATGTCGCATTGGGAACGCAGGAACACCTCGAGGAGACCCATGAATAGCATGAAGGGAGTCCCACCACACGTGGACGCTAAGGTGGGCCCCGGTCTTGTCGCGGGACAGTCGCAGGACAATGGCATCTACAAGTGACAAGTGAATCATAATTATTGTGAAAAAAAACAAAAGACGAAACTGATAATTTCAGTTTTATGACACTACATTTACGTTCACTTTATTAAGTACTATTGCACATACGTATTTTAAACACGATCTTCTTTTGTCACTTTTGCCACGGATGAAAAGTGTAACCTCTCTACAGAGTTTACGTAACTCAACCCGTTCGATACAGTCACGAACTGGAATAATTGCATTTTTTCATTCAAACTATTTCGAAATTGAACAGTTCACCGGGTCACGAACGAATTATTATGATATACAAAAAATTACAATTAGAACATCTGATTTTCAAGCGAGACAAACTTGAACGCTAAACAATTGCAAGGCGAAAAAACAACTGCTGATGTCGGTGCAATATCATCATACTTTTTTTTATTGTTGCTAAATATACCTATAATACAGTATAATTATTGCAGGATTGTTTAGGTTCATTCTAAGCGGTTATTAGCGTTTAAAATGTTATTATTATAAAGGTGCCTTATTATTAACCAAAGAAAATTGCTAATTAGTTATTATTTGTTCATATGCATAGGTTAGCGCAAACTTTCTCCTAGGCTTATAGCAGTGACAACTAAAAAAGTAAAGTAGGGTTAATTAAATTTGATTCAATTAAAATGTAATAAAATACGATAATATGTCGTGCAGTATGAATTATTAATAATGTACAATAAATAATCAAATTGTTATTGGTAGGTATATACCGGATGTATGTAGGCAGATGTCAAAATCGTTTTCTTTCTGGAAGAGTGGAAAATTTTGAAATACATTCAAATTAGATCTTTTTTTCCATTCGGGTAATTTTTTGACTGGTTGCTAAAAGTTTTTCATGGTTAGCGAATTCAAGAAAAACGTTCGAATGCGTGCATTTACAGTGCGTCACAAACGTTAAGAATATCGGTTTTAAAAGAAAACAACTACAACTAGATCGACTTTTATTTAGTCAGATGCTTATGTTTCACTTTCGGTTGTTTTTAGGACACCTTCATATTTTTAAGAAGTAATCGCCATTTCATTTATTTACGGAAATTATTACTTATACTTTGTTGGTTGCGTTGTTATCAGAAAAGAAAACCTTATCGATTTGCGCAAAAAAAGAATGGAGAATTGCGCAAAACT